TCGGGTCCAATTTAAACAGGCCTGCCACTGTTTCTCTAATCACATGTGAAGACTATTCTTGTAAAGCCTTAAATTAAGTTATGCCCGTGTAACTTCAGGACATATGGGAAAAAACCTAAAATAATGCCATATAAATGTAAAGTCAATGTAAAAGGTCTTGTAAGTGTAGAGTCAAATGTAAAGACAAAGTAAAGTCATGTTGGTCCAGAGGACAGTTCTGGCTGTGCCCTGGCCAGCAGCGGACAGGACGACATCTCTTGTCCTGCTGCTCTTGGACATGGGGATGTGGTGACGGCACCAAATCTGCATTTTGTATCTACCTGAAGGCAGAATAAGGCAATTGCACCCAAAGAAGCAGGCTAACAGAAGGCTCTGGCCTTTTTCACTTGGACATGGATGTGTCTCTTAGGTGCTTTCTCTTTGAGAGGAGGTGTCTCTCCCTGTTGTTTTCAGAACTTGACAGGATTATTTTGGGTGGGCATGAACTAGCTAACTTCTGTTTATTTTGTAGCTTTCTTCTCCAGTTTGATCAATGAACCAACAAAAGTCCTCATTTTTGTCTGTTCTGCTSTGGTTGACTGGTTGACAGAGCTGCCTTTGGCCCATCCCAAGGCCAAAGTGCCATGTGTGGGTGGGTGCCATATGTGGGTGCAGTGCCTTATGTGGGTGGTATGGTTTTTTTTTTTTTTTTCCTTCCCCCCCGCTCCTAACGGGCCATGTAGAAGAACAGAGGACAACTCGTTTGAGGAACGTTTAACCACCTCCTGTATTAAACTCGGAGTCCTTGGCAAGAAAGTAAGCCCCTGGCCCTTTCCAGGGCCTTGGTAAGCTTGCAACTTGATGTGCTGGGTGGACACAGGGCTCATGCTGGGCATCCTGGCCTCTTCGCCTGGGACAGAGGCTGAGAGGGAGCAGCTCTAGATGCCACAAGTGTCATCTGCTTCATCCGTGTGCTTCCCGGAGCTCCTGGGGCCTGTTAGCCTGCAAGTGCCACCTGGCAGCACCAAGCCTGAGCTGAAGCTGCTTCTGAGAGCAGGGCTGTCTGCTGGTCCTGCAGTGAATGTTGGAGAACCTCAAGGGCTGGATGTAGCCTCTGCACTTGTGCAGCGCGGCTGCTCCGTGCTCCTTGCCACCTGCTCCTGGAGAGCCCCAAGTTGCATGGGTGGATCTGAGTACCACAAACTGCCTGGCCTGGTCTAGGCTTGGTGGCCCAAAGAGCTTAAAAATCTATTGGAGTAAATGTCAAAACTCCTTCATGGAATAAACGTGTTTTGGTGGATCCTTTTCAGCGAGCCTTGCCCTTCACTGTCCCCAGGGAAGCAAAGGCGCAAAGCAAAGGTCCCCAAGTGAAAAGCAGTTCTCTCGGCAGGACTCCTGTGTGAAGTTGAATGCAAGTAAGTAGAACGTTTCAGTCTGGTTTAGTTTAGTGGCAAAAAAAGATGTAAAATGAGCCTGGTGCAGAAGGCTGAAACTTGCCTTTAGGAATGAYGGTACCTGCCTTGACTCTGTAGGACCAGTTCCTTGCAGCATTGGTGCTTGGCAAGCTGGGTGCCATGGCAGTGGCTGATAGTGGCGGTGGCAGAAAGAACCCAAGAAGACAGGGCAGGGAACATGCATGTCTTGGGTCTGATTTGTTGCCTCGACCTTCAAACCATGTGATACTCTTAGCCCAAAGCAAGTTTGCGTCTAAAACGTTGGCTTTAGCTGACGTCTTGGCTGCTTCTTGCAGTGTCCCACCGCTGAGCCATCCTGGATGCGATCACAGCAGTAAACGTTTGAGTCATGGACAAGTGTGTGTTACAGAGAAGGCCAGAGAAGTGCAGTTCTTTTCCAAGAGCCTGGAAAGTGGGGTTGTGCTGGGAGAAATATGCTCCAGAATAGCTGTACTGGCTTGGGATGCAGCTGATTGCTTTGCCTCTCATTGGGTCCCTCCTTAGGTTTAGGGCTGGTGTGTCCTAGAATAACATCTTAGCTGGTCTCTTTTAAATATGGTGTTTTAAAAGCATAACCTGTCTAAACTGTTTGAGGGAGACATCACAGCTGGTCCGTGAAGAGTTTTGGCTACAATCAAACACCAGCTCGAAAAGCTTGAAGGTAGAGAGTGAGTTTTGTGCATCCWGTCAGGGATTCAGAAGAAGAACTTCATGTTCTCCTAGAGAAATCTGGCTGATCTGTTCTGCAGCACTAAGCGCAGCTTGTGCCTCCTGGGCAGGATCGGGGAGGCTGCACGGGATGGTCCCTCACGCTGAGCTGCTTCCACACAGGGAGCAGACGGGAAGCAGCTTCTGAGCGCGGCTTGGCTGCTCGAGGGGGACTTCTTGAGCGCAGGCAAGTCCCTGTCTACACCAAAACTCTACTGAGTTCTGCCCAGAGATGAAAGAGCTCTGCCAAGGTTGAGCCAAGTGGGACATACCCAATAAATGCACAAGCCCTGGGAGATACTGCGTGAAGCCATGGCATTTAATGTGATTAGGAGTGGACTGCCAAGGAAGACAAGAGCAACTGTGGCTTTGCTGTCTGTCTGGAGTGGGCTTTCTGGCCTGTGAGGATCAGAAATGAAGGAACAGAATCACAGAACAGTTAAGGTTGGAAGGGACCTCTAGAGATCATCTAGTCCAACCTTCCTGCTCAAGCACGGGCACCTAGAGCATGTGGCACAGGGCGGCATCCAGGCGGGTTTGGAAGACCTCCAGGGAAGGAAACTCCACAGCCTCCCTGGGCAGCCTGTTCCAGGCCTCTGTCACCCTCACAGGAAAGAARTTCCTCCTCACATGGAGGTGGAACTGCCTGTGTTTCAACTTACACTCATTGCCCCTTGTCCTGTCAGTGGCCACCACTGAGAAGAGCTTGGCCCCTTCCTCCCTACATTCCCCCTTCATGAACTTATATTATGAACTTACCTGTTAATCAGATTCCCTCTCGGCCTTCTCTTCTCCAAGCTAAACAGGCCCTCAAACAGGYCTCACGAACAGGTCTAAACAGGTCTCTCGAACAGTTCAACCAGTGGTGCGGAATCCCCTTTAGTGTGCYGCCCAGGCAGGAACCCTTTGGAAGAAGACCTGTTGTAGGGAGATAACCTGGACACGAGGCTGTGAAAAAGACTCTGCAGGGCTGGGGACAGTCATAGCAGTTAGGAAAGGGGGCTGTAGCTACCTGCAGGGCCCCGTCTTCCTGGGCCTTATCTCTGTAATTCCCTGGGAACTGAAACCTCTCCAGTGCCAGAGGCCGCGGCCCTACTGGCTGTTGTGGCAGCCCTGGTGTTTCTGTGTCAGTGGGGTCATGGTTCATGGAGCTGAGCTCCAGGAGCTACTTCTGTGCAGTGTGGAGCCCACTTATCAGAAAACACAATTATGGCCTTGTGAACAAACCAACCAACCTAGGGGAGCATGCATTTGTGGGATGGGAAATTCTAGCTCTCCCTCTTCCCTCCCATTTTAAACAGGCTGGAAGAGAGCTGGAAAAGGTTCAGGGAAGGGTGAAGGGGATTATGGACCCTTAATGGGAATGGAACTCTAGGCAATTGCTGCAGGGGTGCAAGAGGTCTCCGCAGGGGAATGAGGTTTGGAGAGGCTGATAAGCTTAGTTTGCATCAGAGGTGGCAGCAGTCCTGAAGGTTCATAKTGTGGTGCTGGTAGATGACACAACACAGTGCAACTGAGCTGTGGAGCTTGTAGCATCTATGTCGTGATGCTAAAGGGTGATACGGGCAATACAGACCTTGACTTTGGATGGCTGGGGTAGAGAGGAACTTCTGGGCAGTATCGTGCTGCTCATGTCTTGTTTCTGTGCTGCTGGCCACCACTGCTGGAGAGGAGCTGTATGGCTATATGGCCAATCTCGGGGGCATCTCCCACRGCCTGGGGTGTCCAGGCTCTGGCCACAGCCTTGTGCCCTCTAGCAGGAGTGTGTCGCTCCTGCAAGGACCCTGTTGCTGCTGTTTACGTTGTTATTGCCCAAAGGCATCGTTTCCGAGGGTCAAGGCTCTTCAGGATTGAGCCAAGCACCTTGTATCTGTCTTTCTCTCTCTTAAAGATGCTCAGAAACCGTTACGTGAGCGTGCAGGTCAGGATTCATAAGCAAATTTAATGCCTGAGCACGATAGCAAAAGCCAGCAAGAAGCCAGCGCCACTCAGAGGATGTCACTGGCCCCTCTGGCATCTTGGGCTTCCCTGCTGTCGCATCAAGGGTTTGCAAATAGCGTTCGTTGTGGGATGAAATTGTCTCCACTGACCGCAGAGCAGAGGCTACTGAGTAGAGCTCCTCCTAGGAACCAACATGTGCCTGGTGTCCCTGGGCTTTCCGGCACGCCTTGTCCTCCCTGTCCTGGAGGTGGCCTAGTTTTCCTTGGCCAGGCTCCCTGCATCTGGCTCCTGGCTTAGGTGACGGGGCTCATCCTCTCCTTCAGGCAGGGCAAAGGGGCACAGAGGCATCTTGCCAAGGGCAGTGGTGGGATGCAGAGTGRCAAATGCATCTCCTCTCCCTAATGCCTCTGCCTACTTGGGAGGATTTTTCTGGCCGTGCTGCCCGCAGCCTCCTGAAGCTGCACGATGCTGCCCATGGGGCTGCTGCCTTGCAGCTGCCACCTCTGCATAGGGCTGGGCAGGGGAGCAGCTGAGTTACCCTGTCTGCATGCGAGCATTTCCCTTAACTAAGTCTTGGGATAAGAGTGGATTTAAGTGCTTTGGTTTATAAATAAACAGCACTTGTGACCAAGGTAGATTTAAGCAGAGCTGGCACCAGCCCTACTTGGGAAAGGATCTCTCCACCACATGGGCTGYTGTTGGACTTCCTGTTGTACGCTAATCCTTTAAGCCTGCTTTAGCTCTGTTAATTTTCCTCCTTTCTTTTTTTTTTTTTCTTTTTTATTTATTTATTTTTCCCCCTTTTCCTGATGGGCTGCTTCGGCGGCGCGTGAATGCCCGCGTTGCTTGTGCCTGCGGCTGGGCTGAGCAGYCAGGCTGTCTTCCGAGTGCCGGCTGCCATGCAGCAGGGCCCCCGGGATGGTGGTACCTGAATGCATCCCCTTCTCTCTGTCTTACAGGCTCTGCAGTCTGCGCCTGAAGAAGCTCACGGTGCTGAAAGAGCTGGACAAGGAGCTGAGCTCCGTGCTCATCGCTGTGAAGATCCAGGTAGGCTCCTCTCCTTGCTCTCCGGGAGCAGCAGCTACTGCCCGGAGCTGGCCCGTAGCGGGATTCGACCTCGGCTGTGGGATCGAGGGCTCCCTGGGTGCCTGAGGCAGTTGCCACCTCCGGAGCTGCTGCTGGGAGCTCAACGGCCCCTGTCCATCCGGCTCCCTGGTCCGTGGCCCCACTCAGCAGCTAGAGGCTTCTGGCAGCGTCCTCTGCCTCCGTGCCCGTGGGGGAAGGGTGGGAAGAGGGGAGGGTGGCAGGGCTGGGAAAAGGATGGAGCACCTCCTTAGGTGACTTCGGCTTTGGTTTTTGTACTCCGCGTGATCCTGCCATGTCCTCTGCTGTCCCCTCCCTTCCTCTGTGTGCTTCCCCCTGGAAAGGCACCTCTGCCAGTCCTGGCCAGAAGGGACATGGATGAGTTTTCTCCTCAAGCGGAGAGGCTCTTTGTCCCCATCCTGCCTCCCACTGGCAGTGGGGAAGAGATGACCCCCCATAGGCAGGGCCACCTCTTCGCCCCCTGCCAGAGCACAGCAAGGAGGCGAAGTGCCTCTCGTGTCCCTGGTGTGGCTGCCCCGGCCCAGCTGTGCTGCCCCTGCCCTTTCTTCGTTCTTGTCAGCTGGCAGCAAAGATGCTGATCCCATTGAAAGCACCGCGGGGTGGGAGCTCAGCGGCTTTGTGCTCCTGCCGAGCTCTTTGTGCCGCACACATTAGAAGCTAAATCCCGGATAAGCGCTGGAAGCTGATGTATTAATGGAGCTCGGGGAGCTGGCATTTGCCTTCGTGGCAGCCCCGATTCACTTGCATAGGAGAGTCTGTAAGTGAAATGTGAAAAATGTGAAGTTTGGAGGGGGAGGAAGAGCAGGACCCTGTGGTTCACATGCGGTTGGTTAGATCTGTCCATTGCTACGTACATGATTTATGTCATCGGGAGATGATGTGCATGCCACTCTTGGAGAGCTGAAAGCTCTGGGCTGTGCCCTCTGAGACCCCCTCACCCYTTATTGCTGAGGAAACAACTTGGGCAGGGGAGAGCTGCTGACCCCTAGAAGCCAGAGAGCAGTTGAGGTTGGTGCTGACAGCTGAGGGTGGCTGCTGGAAACCATCTGGGTGCCAGGGGCTCCTGTGCAGGTGGGCACATCGGGCTGCTGCTCTGTTCCTGTTACTACTAGCTGCCTGGGCTGTGCATGCTCCTCTTCCTCCCTGGGGGCTCCTTGCAGCCCCCTGTTACACTGGAGCTGCCGTGGGCCGTGTGCGTGCGTCCTCAGCTACATCGTCCCTCACACGCTGCAAACGTGAGGCTGTGTGAGAAGCTGCCCAACCTGGCTCTTCCAGCTGCATCCCCCTGTTCTTGCCATGGGCCCGACCCTGTATCCTGCTGTTGCAAGAGGTCAACCAGCCTCAGCATGAGACCATGTGGGCTACTCTGCTTTCCTTGACACTCAAGTCATGTCGGTGAGGACCTTGAGTGGCCCATGCTCACCTCTTCTCTGTGGGGCCACGTGCCTGTGGCCACCTGCACGCACAGGCTCCCGCAAAGCTGAAGGGAATTGGAGGAGTAGGTTTCTGCCCACACCAGCCTGCAGCTTGCCGCTCACCGTGGGTGTAAGATGGATCAGTGTGCCTCGCTGATCTGCTTGTGCCTGCCTCACCGGCTGCCGAGCCGTCCTGGAAGGCAGATGGGAGTTGTAGGCAGWACCAGCAAGGCTGCCTACGGCGTGGCCGCAGCGGGGGCCATTCCTCTTGTGCCTCTCCTGGCTACTGAATGAGTCATGCTAGGGAGAAGCTGTTTAAAGGCTCCCTGGTGAGTGTTGCCATCTCCTCCTTTTGAGTGGAAGCAGAAGACACGTGTAGTTTGTTGAGGACCTGCAAGTTCCAAAGGAGGGAACTGGGCTCTAGCAGAAAGGACAGCTAGGTTTTCTCTTAGCTTTACTGAGCTGAGGTAAGGCCTCTTGGGAAGTTGCTGCTCTCAAGGGCAAATTGCATGGAAATAGAGCTGTGACTCTGCCTGRTGGTGGATCTTGGATGAAGGTGGCCACCCTCCCTATGGAGACAATCCATTAGATGAATGTACATGACTTGGAGGATGGTGTAAGCCTGTCTAGAATATCTGCTCTCCTCACCGTGATAAAGCCCTTCTGCTCTTAAAGGATAATTTCCAAATGTTGTATGTGCTGTCATCTGCTCCTTCATCCAAAAAGACCTCTGACAAAGGGTTAAGGGAAGATTTTTATGTCTACTTAATGTAGTTATTCATCACGGAGAAAAGTTCTAATATGCCTTGTCCTGTTTCCCAAAGGTAAATTGAGTAACGAATGTCCTAAATCAGTGACATCCAGGGAGGTTAAATCCAGACTACTGTGAGAAGAGAACTCTTGCATCCCTGGAGTGTTTTTTAAACCTCTTTTTACCCTGAGTTATTTGTTTTGAYGGCGTAGAGATGTCATAGAGTGTCTCCTACTGTGTACAGTTCAACGTGGCATTAAGAGAGCCAGATGTGCCGCGTGGCTCCGTAAAGGTGCAGAAAATGGTCCTGGCTGCTTATCTGTGTTTACTTGGCAGAGGCTCTTCCTGTAGTTCAGAGACGCCTGATCTGGAGCCACGGCCAGAGGCCGCAACGGAGGACAGCTCGTCCCGGTGCTCGCAGACCTTGTGGCTCCTGTGATGGTGCCGTGGGAGGGATGGGCCCCCCCTGCGGCAGCTGCTTGCAGGGATGGGGCTCGTGACTCGGGTGCAGCCCCCGGTGCAGCACAGAGGTCCTGTGTGGTGGACCAAGGCCTGTGCTACAAGGTGGTCCAAGCCTTGTCTGTGCTTGCTGCTGCCAGCCTTGCTTCTGCCCCAGCCCCGTGCCCCACAAGGAGTTGGATTTTTCATTCCTTGACGTACTTGGGAAGTGTTCTCACGGTCTTCTGCTCCCACCTCGCTCATACTTTGTGTGTCATCTTTCTGCAGTATTTATCACTCCTGCCCGATCAGTTCCAATTCCACCTTAATTAACTAAATTTGCTGCTGATATTTAATGAGCTGTTTTGTCTCCAAATGCTCCTTTAGTTGACTTCTGGGCTGTGCTTTGCTAACTGCTTTGGCCTGATGTGTAACYGAGGAGGAGCCTCGGTTCTTGCTTCAGCTCTGCATGCTGCTGCTGACTTTTCTCATGGTCTCTGAGTTACTGCTTGATCTGGCATGGCCAGTGTCCTCCCAGCACCTGTGCTGGTGCCCAGTATCAGGGTGGCAGGAGCAGTCCCTCCCCTCTCCCTTCCCAGGGCTTTTAGCTGGTTTGCAAGCAGGACTTGCAGGGACATCTGCCACAAAACATCCACTCCAGCTCCCTGGCTTCCCCATCTGCCATGGGCCAGGCTCGCGACTTTCCCTGCTCTGCTTTCTGTTCAGTCTCATCTTGCTCTTCTGCCTCAGGAAGCAAAGGATAAGGGCAGTTCTCTCCYGCTTCAGTCAACGTGCAGGTCCCAGGCAGAGCAGTCCAGGCCTTGGAGCAGTCCCCCAGGGCTTTGCGGGGTGGCCTTGTCTCCAGCAGCYGGCTACTTCCCTTGGCCAGAGCTCAGTCCTTCTGCAGCCTTCTCTCTTTCCAGCAGAACTGACGCAGCTCTTGCGGCTTCTGCTCATGTATACCGGGTCCCTGCATCCATGCACCACTGGCCTGGACCTAAGGAGTGCTCCAGTCCAGGGATCTCCACTGCTTCTCCCCCTGCTGTGCCTGAAACCAGTGTGTGTCCCGTGCCGTGCTGTGTGCAGGGACATCGGTGTTGCTCTGAGGGCCACAGCCTAGGCCCAGAGCTGTGTGTGTAGCTCCCRTGATGGTGAGTGACACTCCTGTGCAGGGTTGCAGCAGTCACGAAAACCCCCTGCACTGGATGCACAACACAGGCTGTTTTCAGCCTTCCCTTGCTGTACTCTGCTCTTGGGGGGGCGGGAAGAGTCTTTGGGAAGAATAACTGCAGCAGTATGTGTGGCTTGATGGAAGACTGAATCTTTGGGGTAAGCTGCAAAGCCCTGGAAAGAAGTAGCAAAGATGGGATGGAAGAAAAGGGAAAAGTGTAAGCAGCACAGGAGAACCTACAGGCTTTTGTGGAACTAACTTGAGTGCGTCAGGTGGCTCTGCAAGACAAAACCGGACTGAAACAAGGCACCGGTTCTTYCTTGTGGGTTGCAGTCACCATTTGCTGTATGCCTTTTGTGCAGCCGAGTCTGTGGCCAAGATGCTCTGGCTTAGCAGAGCATCTCAATCTTGTTGCAGGGTTCCAAGCGAGTGCTGAGATCCAACGAATATGTCCTCCCACCAGGCGGCCTGATGGAGACAGAGCTGGAGCTGACGTTCTCGCTGCAGGTATCTCGCAATACGTTCCCCTGGCTTGCTGGCATTGCTCAGATGGTGACAGCGAAGAGACCTGCTGCAGGCCAGCTGCTGCAGCTGCTTTAGGGGGTGGTTTTGCTTGGAGGGGGATGAGGAGTACTGGTGCCCTCTGAGAGGCACTTCAGAGGTTGGCTGATGACACCCTACTGTCCATTGACCTCAAGGAAGAGTCCCTATATGCTGCCATCTCCCTGTGATTTCCCTCCCCAGTACCCACACTTYCTCAAGAGAGATGGCAATAAACTGCAGATCATGCTGCAGCGGAGGAAGAGGTACAAGAACCGCACAATCCTGGGCTACAAGACCCTTGCAGTGGGCATCATCAACATGGCTGAGGTGAGGGGCTTGGCACGGCCTCCCCGTGCCCTGCTGGGCAGGGAGCTGGGCCTTCCGGGGCTGCTGGGCTGGAGGGCACCCGCTGTTCTCAGCCCCGTGGTTTGTCAGCCAGCCTTGAGGCTGAGGGGATAGGCTGCTAGACACCTCCTTGTCCCCCTGGCAGAAGGCTTGTTTCTCCACCCAGGTGATGCAGCACCCAACTGATGGAGGGCAGCTGCTGGGCCTCCACAGCAACATGAAAGACGTGAACATCCGGGTGGCYGAAATCAGCATCTATTCTCTGTCTAGCCAGCCCATTGATCATGAGGATGGGAGCGTCCCTTCTGGTCCTAAAATCAAAGCTTCAGGTGTGTTAATGTTCGTCACAGACCTGCGGGCAAGGGTTTGGGCCAGGACATGGTGGATGCCGGAGCGTGTCTCCAAGTACCTGCCAGCAATAGTGAGCATGTTTCTGGAGCCAGGTGTCAGTCTGTGGAAATGCTGCACTGTCTATTCTCAGATCGCTCCCCAGACATCGATAACTACTCTGAAGAAGAGGATGATAGTTTCTCCTCAGAGCAGGAAGCCAGTGATGATGCTGTACAGGGCCAGGTAAGGAGACCTAGCAGAGAAGCTCATGTTGTGACCCCTACCCTGGGACAGGGAGTACAGATGGAGGGTCTTCATCACCCTGAGCCCTCTCATCTTCCATTCAAATGTTTGTCATGGTATCAGGAAACAGAAAAACAAAATATTTTAACAATGGGAAAGAACCACTGTCAGACCCATGCTGGGGTCGAGGCTCTGGAGAGCAGTGGTGTGTTTGGAGGACCTTTATGAGTCCTCTCTTGTCTGCAGAATAAAACCACTGCTGAGCCCCTTCCACCTGGTACCACTGACTGTCTCTTCCTGTGAGCACAGAGTGGAGGTTGTCTTGAGCTGCCCTCTCTTGGAGAGAGAGCAGAACTTTTGGGAAGAGATACAAACTGGATCTGAAAATGGTCAGAGATGGCAAACCCACCCCAGTCCTTTGAAAAAATTACGCCTGTGCAGTTTCCTGTCCTCTTGTGGTGCCTGCAATTAAGACCAATAATAAAAGCCTCTATCAGGCACCCTGGGCCATTCAGGGCCCTCTGCATTACCTGCCACATTATACTTGGCTAACATGCTGTGACTCCATGTCCCTGGGAGCTGTGTGTGTCAGTGAGKCTGATCCTTGAAGAGACGTTCTTGTGCTGCACCCTCTGAAATAACTTTGGAAAGAGGAGACAGGAGAGCAGCACAAGGGCTGTGGGGACACTGGTGAGTGGGGAAGGAGGTTTAGGTTATAGGAAGAGCTGTGTGCAGAAGACTCTTACCTCTCCTACGAGCGTTGGTGGCACACATTTACCTGGAGGGACCTGGGGACAAGAGTGATAGATAAAAAGGTTTTTGGTGGAAGGATGCCAAGGAGGAGGAAGGAAGTGCTTGGAGAGAGGTGGGGAAGGGAGCAGCAAGACTCTGGAAGCAGAGTAGGCCCCCAGCTGTTTCCAAATGGGAGGCAAATGTTGGGTGGGACACTGCCAGGAGTTGCTGCTCTGTGAATTATGAGTGCTTCTGGTGTGCTGTGGCTTCTCCCCTGCAGGATCTTTTTGATGAAGAGGACGACTTGAGAAAAACCAAGAAGGCCCGGAGGAAAATGATCCGAACCACCTCTATGACCCGAGTAACATCAGTGTTTCTATCATATTCAAAGAAATGGAAGGAACTGACTTCCTGCCCTTCTTGCAGAGAACATATGGAAGCAGATGTAGATTGTCAGCCTGTTCCCCCTTGGCAGGCAGTTCCGAAGGCTCTGAGCCCTCCCTTGTCCCAGCATACACAAGAGCAGACTGTTTCAAGCCATGCTCTAGCTTGTGACCCCTACTGTGTTTAGTTTGACTTTGCGTAGATGCTCTGTGTGCAACACATCTTTGACTCCCTGCTCTGACATAGTCTCTCCTTTTGCCCTCCCTGAGGAAGCAGAAGGCAGGCATGAGGAAAGCTGGATCACTAGCAGCCCTTTTGCCTGCCAACAGAAGGGGTGAGCCCCTGGTTCTYCAAATATCTTTTTGTCTTCATGCCCCTCGGCCTTGTATGTCCCGAGGCAGATTCTTTTGGAGTTCCTTCCCAGCTTTCCTCAACTATATGGTCTGGGGTGAAGCGGAGTTTAAAAGGAGAGAAAACACTATTCTGGACTGCAGCAGAGAGAGTCTGAATCCCAGCAGCCTCCCTTGTGGCCAGATCCAGCGGCTTCCAGCAGAGCTTGGGTTTAGTCCAACTCCAGCAGCAAATTTAAGAAGCTGGGGAGATCATATCTGACTTGGAGTCGGTGGATTCAGGAAAGGGCCAGCAGGCTGTTAAGGAGAGCAGTTTGGGTAGAACTTTAGTCATCTTACAACTAGATTTGATAGTTTTGGTGATCTCCTCTCTCTCTCTCTCTCACACACACTCTTTCTCTTTTATTTCTTTCAGCAACCAAACTTTAAGCAGAAATTTGTGGCTTTGCTTAAGAGGTTTAAAGTGACAGAGGAGGTAAGAAGCAGGAACCCTGCCCCACCTGTCGGTATCACCTGCAGATGTTTAGATGCCAGAAACTGCCTCCAGCTCATGGGGAGTGCAGGGCAGGTGCTCGGGGGTGCTTGCAAAAGGGGATGTGATGGTGACAGCCTGTCGCCAAAGATGACGTGAAACTTGGCACAGATTTAGCCTCTTCTCAAGACCTTGAGAAGACGGTTCTGAGCCTTGCTTGCAAATCAAAAACCCCTTCCAAGAGAGTCTGCCTGGAGAGGGAGGCTCAGGGAGAAGGGATACTGGTTTGCATTGGAGAGCTAGCATCGCAAGAGCCACACTCATCCTATTCACTGCTGAAAGCAGACATGAACACAAATGCAGGGGTAGCTTGGCTGAGAGTGTGTCGAGTGAAAACATAGCCAGCAAAGGTCCTCCCAGATGTCCTGACTATAGTTGAGTGTGGGTACCATAATGACAATGTCACCTGCTCCTGCCACAAGCTGGATTTGGAGGAATTTGAGGGGGAAGAAGTGGTGGGCCTCAGGGCTGGGAGGGAGTGTATGCTTGCCTGGCCTTGACTGCAGGGTGACTCCATCCATTTTTCCTCTGAATTGGTACCACAGGTCCTAGACTCTGACCCTGTGGACCAGACTCAAGAGGTAGAGGAAGACCTGGGCTTGCTCTATGACAGCCTGGAGGAATGCAATAACAGTGACAGTGGCCCAGAGATTGAGGACAACGAGAGTGTGCACAGCACACCTAAGCCCACCTTGAGGTAGGTGTTGCAGGGAGCCACAGACCAACCTTACAGTCTAGAAAACCTGGAGAAACGTCCCCCAACACTTGTCTGTTGCTTGAGCTAATGCAGGCACTATTCCCTCTTTTTCCATACTCACCAGCAGTTCCTTCCTGTGTTGGCATCTCTGAGCTTTTCACCTCAAAACCACCAAACACTTGCATGCTCTGCTTAAAAAAATGAAACCTCCCAACTAAAGCTGCCTTTTGTCATTTTTAGTCTCATTCCCTCACATCTGACACCCTTCCTAGCCTGCTGGAAGAGTGTCTACTTGATCTAAGTGAGCTTACATTCTAAGCTTTTACATCTCCTCTCTGCTAACAGCCCTGGCCTTTTCAGGGTCTCCACACCAAAGCATCTCCATCTTCTGAGTACCTTGTCCCTTCTGTGCTCGGGCTGGTCCCTTTGTCCCTGCAGGACCTGCATGCCGTCTCCCCATCCACACAACCATCGACAGTGGGTGATGTCCCCTATCCCACTCCCAAAGTGCCCAGCCAGTGGCCTGACTTGCCCAGCCATGCGCTGYCGCCTTGGCACAGCGGTCCCCAGTGGATACTGCAGCGAAACCAGGCTCTTCTCCCACACGATCCAAGTTCACCTGGCTTCTCTGCTTATGGCTGTTCAGTTTCCATCAGAAACGGAACCTTTTGTGAGAAACTCACCCACATTTTGTTTGAAAGTCAGATGCATATCCCTTTATCATCTCCTGCTTGGCTGCCTTACTTGCCCTGAGTCTCTCCTAGCCGAGCTTCTTTGTCATTATTTTTTTCCTCTAGTTCAGCATTTAAGTACAGTTTGAATCAGTTTGAATTCCTGCTGAAGGTATTGAGGGGGAATAGCAGACTTGATCTGCCCCAGGCAAACTGCTTGAAATGAAATCTACTGGATTCATGGACCCCTCAGAGCACTGAGAAGTAGATAGGAACCTAAAGAGAAGTCAAGTGTCCCTCAAGTGCACAAATTGTTGTGAAGAAGATAGCAAGAGTGTGAGCAAGGGAGAGCTGCTTGGAGGTTCACGTGCTCTGGCACCCAAGGCTTTAAGGATGCCCCAGGGAAGAATGAGGAAGATCCTTGTGTGGACGGACAACAGGTTGAAGCCCCAAATGTGAAGGTTGGAAGTGAGCTGATGTTTCCAGAAGAGGAGGGAGGTCAGCAGGGGAGTGTGAAGTGTGCGAGGCCTTTCCTCTTCAGCAAGGTTTTATAGGAAGCACTGAGCAATTACCTACCTGGTGAAATTCAGTCTAGAAAAATAGGACAYGTGCAGAGGGAGGAGAACTGTCCTAGTATTGATTGCAGTTCTGGGCTGTCCAGTACAAGAGGGATGTGGAATTTCTAGAGAGGCTCCAGTGTGGAGCTACAAAGATCATTTAAGGGACTGGAGCATCTCTCGTATGAGGAAAGACTAAGTGAGCTTGTCCTGTTTAGCCTAGAGAAGAGAAGACTGAGAGGAGATTTGATTGATGTGTCTAAGTATCTGAATGGAGAATGTAGGGAGGAAGGGGCCAAACTCTTCTTGGTGGTGGCCAGTAASAGGACAAGGGGTAATAGGTACAAATTAAAACACAGGCAGTTCCATCTCCCTGTGAGGAAGAACTTTTTTTCTGGTGAGGGTGCCAGAGCCCTGGCACAGGCTCCCCAGGGAGACTGTGGAGTCTCCTGCTCTGGAGATCTTTCAGACCCACCTGGATGCCGCCCTGTGCCCCGTGCTCTGGGTGTCCCTGCTGGAGCAGGGGGTTGCACCAGATGATCTTTAGGGGTCCCATTCTGTGACCCTGTGATAGGAAAGGTCTGTTGAGAGTGTTTAAATATGACCCACTCTCATAGTGCTGTTTCCCGATGTCCTTTCACACAAATGTCTGCTCACTGGGAAAACCTTCTAGAAAGGTGCTTCCCCTGCCCTTAGCTCTGGGCTGCTTTTCAGTCTGTTCATAAAGTGTCCTGAGCCTCGTTTGTTCTCTGGTGTTGTCGTTTCTAGCAGTGTAGTGCATATGTGAATCCTTGTTTATTGAGTCTGTATCTCCAGGTTGATGTGAGAGCTGGGTGCRCAGTTCCTTAATATTAGTCCTGATATTCCAGATAGCTTTTGCACCCTGATTGCCTGAGGAAGCTGGAGTTGACTTTCCAAYATAGTCCTAAAATTCAGGATGTGCTCCTCACTTCAGATTTTTTATTGAGATAGACAACCTCACAAGATCCCATGGAGCTCTCTGCAGTAGGGATATTCAGGTGGTCCTTCAGGGCGAGCAGAGGCCAGTGCCCTGGCATGGACCAGCAACCTTTGGAGCAAAGAAATGTCCCTTAAAGTGACCGTGGAGCCCTGTAGTTGTGGAGTGCCCCTGCACAGTGGTGCAGCTAGAGCCAGAACTCAGCCTGTTAGGGAGCAGCTCAAAGATCATCTCTTTTTCTGAGGTGCTCTTAGCACCAGGGATGTCATGTCCTGAGCAGATTAAGTAGAAGTTAATGTATTCCTCAGAAGTTTTTCTCATAGCCAATATGAATTGAAATTGCTGAGTGGGCAAGGACAAGGGTAGAATAACGACTATGTAAGGTGGTGACCTTGTAATGGTCTAATGGAGATGGAAGAGGCAGAGAGAGCAGAAATACAGTAAGAATAGGAGACCTCAGTTGTCCTTTTGTGACCTGGGGAGAATGTTCTCTCGGGGCACAAGGCTCGCACTACATGTGTAGTTTTAGTAAATAAAAACATCGTGAAGTAGCTGGTTATGGAGTCAACGAGGGAAAAATCTCATCCCAGCCATCAGATAAATGTTGCTGCTGAAGAACTGCTCTGCAGTTGGAGCCGTCGTTTACTGAGATGAAACATCCTCATAGGAACAATAAACGCAAAGCACTGTTGTGCCTGGTGGCACAGCATGCTGTTCAGATGAGGAAATATGTTACAGAGAAACTAAGAGGGACAGCTAAGATTTTCGGAAGTCTGTAGGCATCCTGCAGAAAACTGAAAATATGTGCAGATGGAGAAAATAGAAAAGAATGGAAGCTCTGCCAGTGTCCTAGCARAAGAGCTGCTTCATTCCCCACATTTGTGACCCGGGAAAGCTACAGGCCAGGAAGCCCATCTACACACCAAGATATGTGGGAGAAGATTTTCCTGGGAGCAAAGTGCAACTCGGGGAAGCCACACGTTGCAGAGCTGCTGCAGCCCCTCCTGGTAGAGCCTACTTGGTTGCCCAAAGACCTGTCTTCAAGCCCCACCATGGAGTGTGCAGGGGTCCTTGGAGGACATGATGTCCCAAGGGGGTCCCTGCTCTGAGCAGCTGCAACTCAAGGGCTGGATCTCTGTGCAGGAGGAGGACAGGAGGATGCAGTGCAGGTCTGCCGAGGCCGTGGTGCCCTGGCAGGGGCAGAGGGGCTCAGCAGTGTGTTGGAGTTGTGGTGTTAGCAGGGACAGGGCACCAGCATGATGGGCACGGTGCTTCCTCAGCCCGCCTGTGGGGGCAAGGGATAACCTGAGAGGGGAAGCGCTGCTGGCTCTGAGGCTCCCCTGGGCCACTTTTGGAGTTGTCTTTGGGTAGGGCCGCGGTGCATGGGGCTGGCAGCCTGGCAGGAGGCATCCTGCGTAGTCACATGCGTGTCCATCCCCATGTCCCTGGGGGTGCTGCAGGGGAGGGCCTCTCTGTGGGGCTCTTCACTTGGGAAATCCCGGTGACTTTGTTCCTCTCTTATTCCTGCCTTTTTCTCTCCCATCTGTCTGTCCGTCCGTCCGTCTGTCTGTTTCTCTGCAGGCGTTTCTTTGAGGGAGTCTCTCATTCTGGTTCCCAGACTGAGATCGGCAGTCTGCACAGCCAGAAAGGGCAGGAGCGAGATTCGGGCAGCCCTGTGAGTTACACCGGCACCGCTGCCTCTCGGCCCCTTCCCGCCCCATCCAGCCCAGCATCCCCCAGTGCCTGCAGCCCTGCCCCATGTCCAGGCCTCTTAGCAGTGCTGGCCTGGGGCTGCTCCTTCCATTCTTTCCTCTTCTTTCTCCCAGCGCAGGCAGGCAGGTAGCGATGGCCTTCTTGACAAGGCAGGGGGGCCTTGGCAGCGCCGGGAGGGGCAGCCGCGGGGCTGCGCCGGGTTGCCCGGAGGGTGCGGGTCGCTGGCAGCCGCCCTGCTCGGGGCGACTCTTCCCACTCTGACCCTGCCCGCTGTCCCTCAGGGCGAGGCGGACAAGTGGAAGCCGGGAGCGCTGCGCGTGCAGGAGGAGCCGGGAACGGAGGTGCCCGCGGTGGTGAGTCCCGGTTGGGCTGGGAGAGAGCTGGGCGGATGAGCGCCCGGGGCAGGAGCGCGGCAGGGCCGGGAGCAGGCGCAGCTGGCTGGGCAGGACGTGCCTGCTGGAGGCCCTGCAGCCTCAGCTCCCCGCAAGGCTTCGGGCCCGGTCCTGCGCGCGGTCACCTGCGAGAGCCGCTGCGTGATGTGCCTGTGTGCCACCCTCAGGAGCTGACCACGGAGGAGCCCTGTCCCCGGCTGCCCCCCCCAGAGGTTGTGCCACGCGAGGGCAGCACAGACAGGCTGGGCCCCGGCGTCAAAGCTGAGCTGCCCGGCGCCGTGTCACCCAGGTGAGGGGGCTCCGCAAAGCGGCTTTTGTGGCAGCCCCCTTGAAGGGGATGGGGGCGGTGCGGATGGGCTGCCCGCCTGCACAGTATCACCTCTCCTGCTTCTCCCTTGCAGCAAAACGGAGAGCAAGCAGCTGTGGCGGCCCCGCAGCACCTCTGTGAAAGACCGGCAGAGTTCAAAGGGACAGGGCGGCCGCACCAGCAGCCTGGACAGCGAGAGCTCTCCTGACTCGTGGCACAGCACCCAGGTCAGGCCCTGGCAGCCTCCCTCGCAGCTCCCCCAGGCCTTGCAGCTGGCCACAGCGGCCAGGGCAGTGTGCCAGGGCTCACCTTGATGGCGGTGCTGGTGTTGTAGGTGCCCCGCAAGTCTGTTTATGATCAGCTGAACCAGATCCTGGTTTCAGATGAGCAGCTGCCAGAGAGCATTGTGCTGGTGAACGTCTCTGAGTGGCAAGGGCAGGTGAGCGGGCACAGGAGGCTGGGGGTAGGGCAACTCCAGAACAGGTTGCCCATCTGTTGGCACTTGTGAGGAGAGGCTGCCCCACTCCCGCACTGCTTCATCCTCCCTAGCACCTTGCCCCCAGCAGTCCTGGAACAGGCAGCTGACAAAATGCAGCGCGTAGCCCTGCTGCTTGGTGCTGGGTGCCATTGACTGCGCCGGGCGGGGCTATGTGGGATACCCTGACAGAGGCCCAGGACTCCAGCAAGCCCTAGGAAGCACAAGAGGTGTCATCTGGGGAGCGTGCGGTCTGCCTTTCCCCCTGAGCACTAGCAGGGTTGTCCCACCGGCATGAGGGGATGGCCCAAACCCCAGCAAGCACCTGCATCCCCTGTGCACGGAGGAGCCGACTGCTGAGTGAGCATGACCATGGATGTGTGTGTGCAAGGGTACGAATGGCACTGGTGAGACCCCCTCCCACCCCCATTTGCCACCCAGAAGCAGTGCTGGGAAAGCAAGGCAGGGCTTGGGGCACAAGCAGAGGCCCCGCTGTGCCCGAGCTGCAGGGGCTGCGGCAGGCGGGGGCTGGCGCTGCCGGCGCGGCCCCCTTCAGCGCTGCTCTCTGTGCTGGCAGTACGTGAGCGAGCAGCTCCAGGCCCACAAGCAGCTGGTCATCGCAACCTGCTCCGTGGCAGACATCCAGGCAGCCTTCAACACCACCGTTGCCCGCATCCAACGATAGTGAGTATGGCTTGGGCCCAGCCTGGCGGTTTCTGGTGCTTGCAGGGAAGGGCTGGGAATGGGGGTGATCCTGGCTGGGACCCTGAGGCCTTTGGGCACAGCACTGAGAGGAAGCGAAGGCAGAAGCTCCATGGACCAATTGGGAGCCACTGTGGTGCACAGCAAGCTGGAAATGGGCAGCAGGAGCGCTGCTGTGTGCAACCCTTGGGCTCCCAACACATGGGCCACCACAGGGAGCCCTTCAGGCTCTCTTGCTCTCTTTCTGTTCTCCTCCCGTTCTTGCTTTTTCCTCCCTCTCTCTCTCCCTTTTGCAGCTGTAACTGTAACTCCCACATGCCTCCCCCAGTGAAGGTAGTCGTGGCGGGGGACCAGAGCTACCTGAGCGTCGTCCTCCGCTTCTTCGTGGAGCAGCTGGCCAGCAAGACGCCGGACTGGCTCAACTACCTCCGCTTCCTCCTTGTGCCCCTGGGTGAGCCCCACCACGAGCCAGCGATGTCCCTGTCACTGTCCGGAGCTGCATGGCCAGGAGCCAACACGGCCCCTCTCTCACCTGCAGGCTCTCACCCTCTTGCCAAGTACCTGGCCTCAGTAGATAACAAATACAGCACCCTGTTCCTGGACACGGCGTGGCGGGAGCTGTTCAGCCGCGCCGAGCCGCCGAGCGCAGGTGCGGAGCGGGGCCAGGCGGAGGTGGCCGCGCGGTGCGGGGGGCCGGGCTGCCGCAGGCCCCTGGCTGCCCCTGTCCCCGCAGACACGGTGGACATCGCCGGCCGCGTCGCACAGTTCATCGCCGGGGCCAGCCTCTCGCACCAGCTGCCCATCTCCGAGGCCATGCTGACCTACAAGCAGAAGAGGTGAGGGCGGCGGCGGGGGGGGCCTTTTCCACCTCACGTAGGACGGGTGTTGCAGGGGAACAGGCCAAGTGAGGCCCCGTACCCTCCTTTGCCCCCACACGTGGGCYGCGGTCACCAGCGGCCCCCTGGCAGTGAGTGAGTGCCAAGGGTGGCAAGTGGGCTGGGGTGGGGGGCGGCGGGGGGCACACGTGTTCCAGCTGCGCTCTCACGTCTCCCTTCTCTTGGTTTCTGGCACCCAAGGAAGAGAAGTCTGTATTTTGATTTTTATATCAGGTATTGGCTTGTGCTTGCTGTGCCGCTGCCTGGCCCCCCTGCTCCCCTCCCGCCCGCCCTCAGCCCCATGTGCGTCCGTGCGTTCGTCTCGCCGTGCGGAGGAGCCGCGGCCCCACGGTGGGGCCGGGCGGCGCTCCTGCATGCGAGCCCTCTCCCGGCACCGGGGAGGGTGCCGCTCCTTGCCTCCGTGTGTGGTGTGCCACAACTGTGCTGCCATGTCGGGGACGGGGAGGCCCGGCGGGAGGGAAAGCAGGAGAGCGGGGTCCTCGCAGCGGCCGGAGCGCCCGGCGATGCCCCTGGCACCCAACCGACCTTTCTTCCTTCCGCAGCCCTGACGAGGACTCGTGCCAGAAGTTTGTGCCCTTTGTGGGGGTGAGTGTGTGGGGCAGCCGTTGGGCGCTGGGAGGCAGCAGGGCAGGGCAGGGGAGGGGGCGCCTGGGCCAGGCTGGGGGCAGTGCCTGACGTGTCTCTCGACGCAGGTGGTGAAGGTGGGCTTGGTGGAGCAGTCCTTCAGTGCCTCCGGTGAGTGTGGGCACGCGGCTCGCGCAGGGAGCACCCAAGGGTGCCCCCCCCGACCTTGCCGGAGCGTCGCTGACCCCCAACTCTTCCTCCTTAGTGGATTCAGACGACGCCACAATCTGCACCCCGTCCCTGCTGAGCTCGACGCCAGCCACCGGCGGAGCAGTCCCCTATGGCAAGGAGACCGTGGGCACCCCGCCGCCCTCGCCCTCTGTCAGCAGCGGCCTCTCGGGTGCTGGGTAAGGGAGCCTCTTCAGACCGGGGTGCTGGGTGCTGGGCCAGAAGCGGTGGAGGGGGGCCAGAAGCGGTTTGGGGTCCACCCCCAGGGCAGCCCATAGCGGGATGCAGGGAAGGAGAGAGGCAAATATGGGACCCCCGTGCCTGCATGCTGCACACTGCTGCTGTCTCACCCAGGTCCCTGAGCCCCAGCGTGGAGGTGATGGGACTGCAAGTGGACTACTGGACAACCCAAGGGGCAGACAGGAAAAAGGAGGGCGAGAAGCGGGAGACAGGCATCAAGAACACCCTCAAGAGCAACTTCCGCTCGCTTCAGGTCAGCCGCATCCCCAGCACCGGGGAGCTGCTGCCACCCAGCACCATGGCCATGACTGTGGTCACCAAGGAGAAGAATAAGAAAGGTAACCACCACTGCCACCCCAAACTCACCTCCTGGACACCCTGCAGCCCTGGTGCCATGGTCTGCTGTGAAAAGGCGTGGAGAACCCAGAACAAGCCAGGGCTGAGGACCAACCCTAGGGTGGCAACTCCCCTCTAGGGGCTGGTGAGGGTATTTCAACCTTGCTCAATCTGCTCTTGCTCCCTTCAGTGATGTTCCTGAGCAAGAAACCAAAGGAGAAGGACCTGGAGCCCAAAAGCCAAGTCATTGAAGGGATCACACGCCTCATCTGTACAGCCAAGCACCAGAACACCATGTTGAGAGGTAAGCAGAGGAGGAACCAGCCCTAGAGACCACAGTGACCAGACCAGACAGCCCAGGCTGGGTCCCGGAGCTCTTCCTGACCATGTCATGTCCTTTTAGTCTCCATAGATGGGGTGGAGTGGAATGATGTCAAGTTTTTCCAGCTGGCGGCACAGTGGCCAACGCACGTCAAGTACTTCCCTGTGGGCATCTTTGGCTACTCAAAGAACGTGTGAGGCTCACGGCAGCCYGGGGAGCAAGCGGCAGAGGGATGCAGGAGGAACTGGAGAGATGGATGTGATTCTGTCCCCTCTTTTCTGCTGGGCAGCACTGCGGGGGGGCTGCAGCCCAGCCCCTGCCTGCTCTGCAGAGGGAGATACCTCCTGCCCTGCTGCTCCTAGAGCAAAACCTGCGGAGGGGAGCCCAGCAGAGCAGGGCTGGGTCCCCTCCAGCGGCAGCCAGGGCGCTACGGCACCTCGCTCCCCTAACCCCCACCAGCAGCCCAGGGCAAGGGCTGGCACCCTTTAGGAGGGACTTGGAAAGGGCTCAGGGCCACCCTCACCCTTGTGGCACCTACAGGGCAAGCTCTGTGGCCGGCCAGGGCCCCAGCTGGGCTGGGCTCAGCCCGGTTCCCCAGCCCCAGAGCCAACCGGCTTGCTCTGGGGCAGGGGGCTGGAGGACAGACACGGAGCCAGGCCGCAGTCACTGCCACCAAGCCGGGCCCACCCTGCCCCCCGGGCCCCCACCTGCTCCTGTGGCGCCGCCTCGCACAGCCCTGGAGCAGCCCTGCCCCGGTGGCTGGCGCTGAGCCCTGGCCGTGGCTCCAGGGCTGCCACCTGGGGCAGCGCTGCTGGGGGCAGGGGCTCAGGCCATGTGGGGCAG